GACATCCGGCCGTAAATAAAAAAAAAAGCGGCGGCGATTGTTGAAGCTGTGGGAAAATGGGGATATCTTTTGCATGGGAAAAAGTTTAAACTGATCAAAAAGCTTTGGCATACATTCTTCGGAAAAATCAAAATTGGGAATACGAAGTTACAATTGTGGAAACTAGAACTTTCTGTATTTGAATATGAAATTGTCCATCGTCCGGGTGTGGAAAATGTGGCACTAGACGCATTGTCAAGAATCTGTGCTAGCAACACTTGTTGCACCATTCGTCTTAGAGAAGTTCATACTCAATTGGGTCATCCTGGTGTCCGTCGAATACTTCATTTCATACGCACTAAATCTTTGCCCCTTTCTGTTGGCGATGTAAAGAGGGAATGCGCTAGTTGTCGACAATGTACCTAAATAAACCCCAACTTTTATAGATTCGATGGAAGCCATCACGTGGTCAAAGCTACTCGGCCGTGAAAGAGAATTAGTATTGATTTTATTTGAAGGTCCCGTCGCGGGAAAACGGCGATATTTACTCGTGGTATTGGACGAGTATAGTAGATTCCCTTTTGTATACTCATGTGCGGACATGACTGCAATCACTGTCACTAAATGTCTTGCATCATTATTTCCAGCAGTTGGTTAGTTTACACCGAACTCTCTGGTGGGAGTGGCCTGTGTAAGCTATGCGTCGTGATGCGAGCGCGTTTAAAGCATGGAGGTTTCAGGGACACTGCTTTTGTCACAAGACCATTCATTGACTACAAAAAATTTATTGAAAAGGCTGTAGCCCACCGAGACTCAAATCACCACGAAGAATCAATTGCAGCTGCGAAAAATTTTGTCAAAAGCATGGAAAATGATTCAAATGTGCGTACAAAGTTGGAAGCCTAATATTCTACGCAATCGAAAGAAAACAGGCGAATAATGGCTTCTATTGTCAAAACGGGTATGTTCTGTGCTTTTAGTAACATACCTTTGCGCGGACATTCCGGAGATAGCGGAAATTTGGCGGAGCTTCTTCCATTTCGTATCGACGCCGGGGATGAAGATATGAAAAGGCATGGCCGGAAACGCCAAGTATACAAGCCCGATGATACAGAATGAGATTCTCAGTGTATCAAGCAATATGATAGTGCAAGATATCGTTATGGAGGCTAATAAATCGTGTAATATTTCCGGGAAAAAACTAAGCATTGTTTTGAGGTATGTGAGCGATAGCGAAGTGTGCCTGCGCTTCACAGGATTTGTGGAAATGGATTCCGTTTCCGCCGAATCAATTTCATCAAATATTTTGGCCCACCTCACTGGGATAGGAGTGGATTTGCAAAAACTTGTGGGGCAGGGTTATGATTGTGCAACAACAATGGCAGGTCACGTGAGCGTTGTGCACTGTGCCTCTCATTGTTTGAATTTGGTCATAAATGACCAAAGTGAAGTTGCAATAATCAACTGCAACTTCAAACGAGTACTTGAGGCTCTCGAAAAGAAGCCAACAGTGAGACGAGGGCGAAGGCTTTCTCTCTAAAATCTGCTCTAGAGAAGTCTTCTGTTATCTACGATGTATGTGTAATTGGTCGATATTCGGCACTGCGCGCACACTTCAGACGGTCGGAGTCAGTGTGCCGTTAGTGAAGAGCCCCACATCCTCCAAAGCGTTCTCACTGAAGAACGCAATGACTTAGACCTTGCATAGAATATTTACAAAGAGGCTTCTGTGCTGATTCAGCATCCAAGTATTTCCAACGCTCCGTATATCTTCCATACATCGACGGCTTGAGCTGCTCTATCCGGGAACACTTCATTGACAACCCCTCTTTTTTCTTTACTATCAATTCTTCCTCTGAACGAACCAGTTCGGGTGGTTGAGATTGAGCGTTTGTATTTGTTGGATAACCTCCAGAATGAAGTGAGACTGTGGAGAGCTTCTTTGAGCTCCAACGTCAACGACGAATGTTTGTAAGGGTTTCGTCTGAGCAGCCGAGTTTATCCAAGCGTGCACACATCAATGCAGATCGTTAGGACGCTACCAGCAACAACTGTCGAAGCTGAGCGTTCTTTTTCCTGTATGAAGCGGGTGAAGACATGGCTGCGCTCATCAATGACGTCCAATCGCTTTTCTGATTTTTGTGTCCTTCGTTGTCAACGTGAAAGATTAACTGAGGAGAAGATCATTCGGCCTGTGGCGAGCATAGTTGGCGGAAGGACTTTTATTGGTGGCGATGTCCTATACTGATTCAGATTGCGTTATAAATGTTTGTTGTATCGAAGAAAAAGTTGTTCGGGAAATTAATTTTGTCTTTACAAAAAGCCAGCTAAAATGTTGAATAATTTTTTTCCTTATTGGTCAAATGTGGTCTTCTTCTGCTTTGAGAAGTGATGTCTCAAACCTAATTGCTTCAAATGTCATTTGAAATTTCAGAAAATAACAAAACTTTATTCGGCTATTTAATTGCATCACAATATATGTCACAAAATACACATATATATCTAAAAATATGCTTCAAGTATACATTATCAAAATATATCAAAAACTGTTTGCTTTTGCACAATTCCCAAAATGCAATGCGGCCCTTGAAAACCCACGAGTTTGACGCCAATGGTATAGATCATCTTACATGGCCAGGAAAAGCTAGAACAGTCCGCGTACCGTTACCGGTACCCAGATAGCGTGGCTGTTCAGGAAACCGAAGGATTTTCGTAGAATTGGTGGTAAAACATTTCGTTATGGACTTCGTGTACATATATTTGACCATAGCTGTCTTTAGTTAGTTATATATTGGTTCTGAATTTTTAGAGTTAACAAAGTCAATACATTTTGTTGTTGTCTTATTGTAATGTAGCATAATTCTATTTAGTAGACCCTAAACCTAAATTTACCATTTTTATTGAATTGAATGTATTCCAATGGGGCTGGTTATTTGCAATTTATGGGGATTATTAGAACTACAGAAAAACAAATATTAAAAAATGTACCAAAAATTTATCTTGCTTCGGTAAGCGCGTCGGACTCTATACCACTTTATATTTCACAAAATCTACTTGCCGATATTTGTAAATCACGTGTTTAATTTTATAAACTATCCTGGTAGTTTGGGTATCCTACAAACTAATCCGTTTTCAATAGTGTTCGACGACAACTTTTACACTAATACGCTTTCATCCAATATTTCACCATGGTTCACATTCATTTTACTAGATCATTTATTTGAAAGTTCTTTTTATGTAATTTCATTATGCAACAAAGCGGCGACCTCACAACTTTTACGTATCGTATTATTTGTGACTGTCTACTGTATCAACATTTACTTAAAATGAATTTCTGAACAACACCAAATTGAAACCTGATTTGCATTATACAACAAAAAAACAAATGCACTCGAAAACAGTAAAGTAAAGCGTTGTCCTGTGTGTTGTTTTAAGTGATAGACTTCATTACCAAAATTAAAAAAACATTCTTGCTCAGAATAATGTCGCAAGAACTCACTAAAATTTAAAACACCAATATTCATTCGTCAAATAGGCATACAGTTCAGAGTATTAAGTATTGAATTACCCATTTATCTAATTACTAAACTACACAAACTAACTAAATAAGATCAGGTGCAAAATACTGATAGCATGGTATAGTATGAACAAAATAAGTTATGTGCTGGATTACTTTTGTCTTATTATTGTAACCTCTGTTTCCCAAATATTGTGAATATGTACGTAATAGCAACTTTACCATCAGCTGCGGTATCAAAGTATATCAGAAACATTCACAACATTCATGAAATCGAAAATTTTTGTTTATCTTATTCGGTTTCATGCGTATTTAAAAGATAAAAATCCGTCTGGGGAAGTACTTGTCAAAAATATTTGAATATTAAGTCATTGTTACATTACAATTGGTATGTAAATGAATATACGTACAGCCATACATAAAACAAATGACGCAAATTGTGGCGGATTATGGCATCAAAAAATCCATTTATAAGCGAATAAAATAGACGCCCTTGCGAATGGACGTCATATCGGAATGGAGGTGGTTATCCGATGTTCAATTTCAATACTTTCGACGACAACTTCCTGAAAAAAAATATTAGTTTCTAATAAAAATCCAATCAAGCATCTTCGTAATTTAAACTATTATTCAACTTTTTATTATATTACTCAACATTTATTCGAAAATTTAATTTAATTATAATTGACATCTAATTGTTATTATATAACAAAATGGTGAATTTACAACGGTTACATATTACATCATACACGTATCTTCTTAATTACAACTGTTTTCTGTATCAGCATTTCATGAAGACAGAAACTGATTTCCATGAAGTATGTCAAAGACATTAGCTAAAACAACAGCTAAGAAAGAATAAAATTCAGGGTATGTAATACGCATTTGCCTATTTCATGAACTACCTAAACACCAGTGTCTTCCATTAACCTTAATTATATAAGATCAGATGCAAAATACTGACAGGATGGGTAAGTAGGAATCAAAACAATATAAAATAAATAACTATGCTACGTGTTGGCGTAGCTATTACCAAAATGGAATTACTGTAGATATTAGCTACCTATCAACACAGTTACTATCCATTAGAAAAATGTATATTTGAAACGGTCACAATATTGAAGAAAGTGAGAAATTTACATTTGTCAGTTTCTGTCTTATTTAGTTTCAAACGATTTTATTAGATGAAAATCCGTCTGGGTCGTTTATGCACATTTCAAGATTATTTCAGTCATTGTTGTTTTACAATTTGCATTCAAATAAGTTGAAAGTATGAACAAATTCCGATGGATTGTGATCTAATATATTTGTGGAAGATTAGAGAAAATTATTCAAAGTAAGAAAAAATTTACTAATGCCAATGTTGGTTTCTGAAATCGAGGTATATCGTAGGATCATATTGACGTCATAACGGTATGGAGGTGATCAGCGGATGTTGATTTAAAAAAAAACGCCTGAAGTGATGCATGAGATAGTATAAATAGTGCTACGAAAAGTTGGGGACATCAAGCATCTTGCAGAAACACAACAAGGAACAACCAAACACGGAGACGATAAAAAGGTTGTTTATGATTTCTATTTATAGTCGCTTAGACTTTAGTTGAATATTGTTTCCATTGATTTTTTATACATGTATAAGTTACGGCACAATATTTAATCCCATTTTCAAGGTCTTCAAATAAAAAAAAATTTAACGATGCAACATTCTCGAGATTATTGTGTTTTACTGTTTGATATACATCCAGTAGGCTACAGCGTGCGTCCCCCAGGGGCGTAGCATTTCGGACCCGCTAGCTGATACGGTTTCAATTCACAATTAAAATTTCAGAACCCCCTCCCCCTTTGAAAATTTCTGGTTACGCAACTGGTGTCCCCGTTAGCTACAGCTTAAATTTTTATTACAACATAAAGCAATAGTATACCATGACCTTTTTCTATTAAAAGAATAGGGGATGTTTAGTGTATGATTCCCCTTATTGTATGAGCAGCAATCATTCACTTGCCAAAATGATATTTTAGCACTATTTTTGAGTATTTTCTGGTGTTTGCCGATTGCAGCTCTATAGATCAAAGATGAATGTGGCAACAATCTCTCTACTTCTGGTGGTAAGCTTGTTTGAAATTGAAGCAGCTCCATTCACTCAACTCAAATGTTTTCAGTTTCGCTACAAATTGGGACAGCAGCAATGTGAACCAAGTAAGAATTTTGTCTCAGTTTCATTTAAACAAGGTTTCTCCTTTCTGGGGAAAGATAAGACATCCAGCGGGGCTCGATATGATAATTTAATAATATCTATGATAATATCAACTTATAAGGTGTTACACAACAATTCTCAACAGCCATTCCTAATACCATTTTTGTTGTTACAGAAAGGGGCTTCAAAGGTGATTTAGTACCATGCTACAACTTATGCGACAACAAATTGGTTAAATTTGAAGATTGCAATAAACATCCTGCTAATAAGCATTGCTGCGTTCACGACTGCAGATGCGTCATAAAAGGAGGTGGGTATAAACAATAACACAACAACTGATGATACCATGTCTCATTATGTTATCTTTATAGTACACCGTTATAAGTATTGATATACACGATGAGCAAAGAATGTATGAATTTTTATGCCACAAATTTGAAAAAGCGGGGGCATGTAAAATGACATGGTATCTGATACTCTTCTGCATTTCTTTCTAGCCGGATTTGTTGAAATTCCTCAAAACTACACACTTACTCTCGACGATGAAAAGTTATTGCAGTGGATGAAGACCGAAGTAAAAGAAGGATGTGAACCAGAAGAGAAATATCCCATTTTCGGGAAGATTAGAGAATCTGAAACTACTGTTGCAAGCAAAACAAACGCCGAGACAACTGAACAAAATGAAAAAAAGCCACCCGCGACCAAATGTATTGCAAATGATCACTTTGTATCGCAATTTGCAAAAAAAATGAATGCAATATTCGAGCAGATGGGTATGAAATGGGAAATGGGCGTCGAAGATGGCTGTAATTAGTATATATTACTTATACTCCATCAGTATAAAATTCGAATTTTCATTTCAATCCAATGTTCGTGTCTGTCGATATCTTTCTATTTGTATATATCAGGGGTGCACAACCTTTTTGCTATTGGCGGCCACATTGCATTTATTTTTATACAATACGGCCGCCAGGAGGTTAATATCGCGCCGAAGGCGCGCGAAATTTTTTGGCTTTATGACGTCATAACCGCGTGTTTGACCCGTGCGAGGTGCACTCTGCCCAATTATGAAGTATGTAGGACTACTTGAAAGTATAATATTCGCATTTTAAAAGGATTTTTTTTGTCGGTGGACCTATTCTAGAGCAGATATATTCAGCAAGTTGCATAATGGTTGCACAATTTTGGAAAAAATCCAAAGTCGGGGAGGGGCGGTCGCCCCCATTTTCTTGTCCCCAAAAGTATAATAAAATGTCAAATATTTTTATGAATTTATTCTATAAAAGTTTGCAAAGAATTGTAGCAATTTAATGACTCCTTTGATCTTGCATGTGGGCAGATAAACTTGCAAAGTGAGGTAACTGGCAGCAAATACACCATCTAGAATCTAGATTGTGACGCATCGTGTCGTCTGACTTTTTTGCAGTGCTTCTGTTTTGCTTCAATATACGCCAGCATAGCCGCCAAATCCTATATTTTGAACTTTTTTTTCATAGGATTTTGTATGTGGACGGCCGCATTTTTTTTTCGCGACGGCCGCAGGTTGTGCACCGTTGGTATATATATATTCCTTTACCGACAAAGTATCGTTCGACTATGCTGCATGTAAATCTGATATATGTTCTGAAATATATAAGTATTAACAAAAACGGAATCATTTCAATGGGATAAGCGTGGTATGTGAAGTTGGAATTGTAAACGCAAGGCAGTCAAAGGCAATTTTCTCGAATGTCTATGTTACATATATTTAGTAAACCTATAGAATTTGGAGAATTTTGTTGAAAGAAGTGATTCGAATTCACCTAACTTAAATTATATATGATATTGATTTATACTTACCCGCACGCTCACATACAAACAGAACGATATATTGAATAAAAATAAACAACGAGAAAAACTTGCGTAGTAACAAATTAATAAATTACTTGGTAAACAAAAAGGGAACCAGACAACAATAAAACACGGGTATTGGTCACGTCATGTCAATAATACTGTAAGTATTGCCAAATTCAATTCTGATGAACAGAATGAAAAATAAAGAAATATTATGTAATAAAAAATATCGCCAAGCCTATCATTGGTGTAGTCTCTCTAATGCCAATTTGCTGTTAGCTGGATGCAGGAAGAGCTGTGCTACGCTAGACCAGACCACCTTTTCACCTGTTCCATAACTAACCAAATTAAATTCCAGATCATACCAATTAATAAAATCAGGGAGTATGATTGAATTATCGTACCGAGTTGGAAAAATTTGGTAGAAAGATATGTTAGATATCAAGGGCGAAAGTCTGGCTTTTTATTTATAGCCATGAAATTCAGATAGGTGTTTTTGTTTGTGTGGTCAGTTTGAAAATAGCATAGAATACTCATCAAAGTCTTCATACATTCCATAAAAACCATATTTGACGAAGAAGCGAGCTGTTGAATTCATTTGATCGCTGTGAAGCAACCTGAACACTGCAAAATGAACCTACGGGTATAGATGTTTCAATAATTGCATATTAAGGCAAGGGTGAAAAGACTATTACTTTAAAGATCATATATATATATATTGATGGTTGAATGACTTGATAGAGGACTTGTTTGCTTGGGCACGGAAACGTTTACAAACCAAGTTGATTGACTGGCAAAAACAGTACAAATAGCACGTGTAAAAACATGATGGAGTAACTCTAAAATCGAGCTTGAGCTTGAGACAAACTCGCCGGATCTGCGGGGCTACGGACAATTAGGTGATATACATTAACAAATATTGGCCTAAGCATTCTTGATCATACGTCTCAAAATCAAACTACCACACTTATATCAAAAGTCAACCTGAGGCTACTTGAAAGAACATTTGTCTTTTGATTGAAAGCCACGATTTACCTTCTTTCTTGTACAAAAGTTTACTACCAGCCCAAAATATGAACGCTCAACAAAAATTGTGTACAGATCGTGGAAGAAATTACAAACAAGTATTGATAAATTTAATGTTAATCAGTAAATCAAGATACAGTATTGAAAATTTGGCACTACTATTTATAGAAGAAAAAAAACGCAATAAAATATCGTAACTGCATGGTAAATACTGTCATATCCCGGTAAATACTGAGTAAATAAAATGAACACTTTACGACAGGCTGGGGCGGATTATGCCCCTTTGGTGCCCTAAGCACTGAAGACTTTGGTGCCCCCTTATGTGTAATTAAAATTATAAAAACAATAAACATAAGTGTATTTATTATCCATTCAAAATAATCACAACCAACAGTGAATAAAACAACTTTTACGAACATTTTTAGATTTTTTAACTGTTATATATAGCCGATATATATATCGGCCGTTTACTATCGATATGATATACCGGCAAACACATAACATCGGACCGATATAACGGTTGAGCTCTAATCCTGAAGGAGTGTGACAATAAAGATTCATGCCTCCAGTCTCAACGTGAAGCGATACCAAAGGTTACAAGTCACAACTGTAGTTTGCAATTTTACCGGTACCTAGTCTACCTCGGGGTGGTCCAAGGTTGCTAGGTTGAAGGACCGCAAAAACTTTTGAGGAGGTCTCGCGGGCCGCAAATCGAAGAAAACCCAAAAGTGATCAAAATATCGCGATTTTACTTACTTTTAATTTAATAAACAACGAGAGTTCATCGTTCTAATCAGACCATTATTATGTTGCATGGGTGGCGTTCATTTAAAGAAGATATATAAAGCCTTCAGTTATTCAAAAATTAATTCCCTAAAATTAACGTTGTATTTTTGCATCTCGCGTTTGATGTCGCTTCAAATTATATTCTTTCGTGACAGATATTACTTGAAATCAAACCAGACACTGTGTGAGGAGCAAGGAAATACGTTTGAAAACAGAGAAGTGTTTTTACTAAAATAAAGGCACAAAGCGCTAAAAAAAAATTGTTTGACTCTCGGTATTCCAACCCCAGTTGGAATATCTGTAAAAACTCAAAAACGCTCTGCTATTAGATAAAAATATACGCTAAAATTGTTTTGTGGGCCGAACGGAATGTATCAGCACCTTCAGGACCTCCTGAAGTATGCGCACCAAGATGGCGCACAATCTGAACTCAGGTTGTGTACCAAGTTAGGTTTCAGGTTGTGCGACATCTTGGTGCGTATACTTCAAGAGTACCGAAATTTTTTAAAACAAAAATGCAGCAACAAGGAGAATACTAGGAAGAAAAAACAACAACAATTTTACAAAACGACTCATAGGCCAATTTCGTGTCCAATAAATAAGTTTAAGTGTTTACTTTTGGTAAAGAAGGATAATATGATACTTGAAGATGAAAAATAAGCGAACATTTTGAAGTTTGAGTCGCATGGTGAACTCGTAATATTTTAAATAAACACCGATAAACTATATAAAATTTTGCTATAAAAATTTCTGTGATGCCCCTCTTTGCTTGGTGCCCTAAGCACGTGCTCATATTGTATAATCATTAATGGTTAATCCGGCGCTGATGCCAGCCCATAATATGTTAAATACGAATCACTAGCACCAAAGCAAGAGAAGTCCGATGGAAATGCGTGTATTGGCAGGTTTTGCAGTCACAGACCTAACCAAATAGGAAATGATGTAGTAGTGATTTTAACCAGCTCTTTTTTAAAACGCAAAATAATTCCAATAACCTGGTATAAGTTACATTATTATGAAAGACAGACTGTTAAAATGCTACAGAAAATTAAAACGAATATTTTTCTCAAATTTGTATATAAATTATAAATATCATGATAAATTATAAAAATCTCAAGTATATAAATTATTCGGCAACCAGATGGTGAAGTGAACTGATAAAACATTCAATACTTTTAAGAGCACCAAGACAATCTGAAAGAATCTGAGGGAGGGCGATTTTTGTTTATCCATTCCATTGCCATACTTATCGCACATAGTTCGACAGTGTGCAAAGCAAGATTAAATATAATCATTACTCGCAATCTTGATATTGTTTGTTGCAACTGGTTTAGGTATGTTAACAAGTTCGTAATCAACAGCTGGGTTTTCCATCGTCCATGGAGCATCGTACACTCTCTCCTTTCGAACTAGCAACGATAGTATTTTGTATAACCTCGGTTAGAAATGCAAAGACTTGAATGGGATCTACTGTGATTTGAGGTCTTTGTTTTGGATTATTTTTTTGTTCTATCAAGAAGATCTGCCGTTGATTGGTCAGATTTAGATAAAGAATAGAAAATATCGTCTTGTCGTTGTTGACCGCATGCTGAGCGCAACCCTGAGTGCTGAGCTCTGGCACCCAAAGAAATGTCAGCACGACCCATTTTAAAGTTCTGGTATAGTCTGGTGCTTTCTCTGACTAATGAATAGTGTAGAAGCCCTAACATCCTGTCTTTTCTTTGTTTTTAAAGATGGGAATTTATCATGGGACAAAACAAGGTTTTTATTTACTTGACCAGATGTTTTATTTTTAAAAGATATATAAGGTTGCGAGCGTCGGGAGTAATTCAAATTTTGGTTTTTACGAAGGATCTTAATCTGCGCTCTTCTTTATCTTCTTTATCTTACATCCAGCACTATGAGAAAGACTGCAATTTGTACAATGTGGTGTAGCATTGCATGACTCCTATTCGTGTTCTCCACCACAACGGGTGCAGCGCTTCGTACCGCGGCAATGTTCACCATTATGCCCATATCTGTTACAATTTAACCGTATCGGCATTCATGAGTCTTGAACCTCAGGAATCCAATCTCGAACGTAAAAGGCCAAATATTTGTGCCGAAATTTAATATGTCCGTAGAGCAAAGTTCAGAGCCTGAGCTTGTTTTTTGTTTAATCACTTTGCTTGTACAACACGGAATTTAGCAAGAGAGCAAGCTAGTTCGTTGTTTGTCAGATCTTCTGGAACGTGTTGGATAACGCAATTGGCAGAAAAATCCCTACTTTTCTGTTTTGACGGGAATCAACGCTGAAGCGTTTTTTAAATCATTTGCGACGACCCTTGTTTTATCTGTTAAATGCTGTCATGTGATATTATTGCAATATTTGGTATTTTGACATTGGGGACACTGGGGGCGCTGTGACACTGTCGGTTCTGTTCTTCTGTGTCAGCGTGTGATGTGGTTGGTACCGGTACAGTGGGGTTTGTTTTCGGTTGGATTCTGGTCATGAGTGTCTGTGGGAGTGCCTCTGGTCCCCGGTGGGTTATCAGGGATGT